TAACCGCTCCCAGCCGCCTCGGCCTCCGGGGGGCCGAGGATCAAGGAAGCCTGGGGCAGGTCCAGGCAGCTCCGAGAGGCATGCGCGTAAAACAGCAGCCCTGACGGACGTGCAGCTGGGACTCGGGCCTGACCTGTCCTGGGGGCGGGGGCCGCCGGCCATCGCAGGGTTCTGCTCCCCCACCGGGACCCGGGCTCTGCAGCTCCTTTCGGCTGGCGGGCCGCCGGCCGCGCAGGCACCCACATTCCTCTCCCGCATCTGCCTGGCTGGGCTCCCACGGATCTCCCAGGAACGCTTGGCCCAGCCCCACGCTCCGGCCGGCGTCTCTTCACACCGAGGAGGGATGAGTCGTCAGCATGTTTTCAGCCAGTACAAGACGTTATTTAGGAGAAGATGAAATTCTCCCTGGATTCAGAGAATCCAGAGTGTCTGGACAGACTAATGGGGTGGGCCAGAAGGATTGTTCGACACTGTCTAGGCTTTATGTTGCAGATGGGGAAACTGAGGCCCGGGGAGGCTGGGGCGGGTCTTGAGCCAGGTTCCTGGCTCCCAGCTCTACTGAGCGCTGGGGGGACAGGAGGCTTTGGCCCCTGAGACCCGGCAGCGTCTGTGCTGACCCGGTCCCAGCTCCCACCTGCCTGTGAGACCCGCCACGGGACAAAGGGCGGGCGCCGGCCCCAGTGTCTGCAGCCTGAGGTCCTGCCAGGGGCCGAGTCCCCACCCTTCCCACTGGCCAGGGTCTGGGAGGCCACGTGTCCCAGGCTCAGACCCCCGAGAACATGGCCTGGGCTGCTCTGACGGACAGGCTTCCAGGCCAGCGAGATGCGTGGTATCGACACCCCAAGGGACCAAAGCCCCTGCCTGCTTTGCCCACACCTCGCCCGGGCCCCAGGTGGCCACAGAGGACAGGATCTGTGGCCGGCCACCACAGCCTCAGCTGCATGCCACTCCTCGGCGTCCCCACCCTCACCTCTTGGGGCTGGACCCCCCAACCCCCCAGCAACTCCAAGCCCCCGGGGGCAGGAGGGGTCCTCTGACATGTGCAGCCCCCACCTCCAGGCCCGCGCTGGCCGCTCCCGGGAGCTCCAGGAGGACGGGAGGAGGCGGGGCGGGAAGCTGGTGCCGCACTGGCAAGGGGTCTCCAGGTGGAGACAGTTAACCTCAGCACTGCCCCCGACCTGTCCCCGACCTGCCCCCACAGAGTGCAGGGACATGAGCGCGAGTGACCCCGCAGAACCGGCCACTTAGCCCTGCTGACAGTAAACCGTGTGCTCTCTGAGGTCGACTGGCCTTCCTAAGGATGAGGCCCTGGGGGTGCTGGGGCAGGAGGGGAGGGGTTTGGGGGACTGAGCTGCTGGCCGAGGCCGGGCTAGAGTCCCCTCGGTGCCCAGGCATCCTTCCTCCAGGTGTGCCAAGGCGCCGGGGCGGCGCTGGGTGGGAGGACGGGGCAGTGGGCGGGGCTTGGCCCGGGGTCAGTCCAAGGCAGAGTCCCCCCACGACATGGGCTGCGAGGCCTGAGTGGGCAGCCCTCTCCACCACCTTGTCCTCCTCTTGCCATGACCTCGTCCTCCTCCGCGACTCTCTCTGAAACTCTCCCGTCCATGCCGACGCCTTGGCCAGTGGTCACCACCCACCCCACCCGGGCCGCGCGGGCTGGGCTGAGGCTGCAGCTCCCTCCTGGGCCCGGGCTCAGCTGGGACTTGTGCCCACGGAGGGCAGGACCCTGAGCCCGGCGGGCTCCCGGCCAACGCGTCCAGAAGTCACGCTGGAGAGCCAGGCGAGGGCCGGCGGACAGCAGTGGGGGCTTAGCACTGGGAAAGGACCCTTCAGTTCAGAGGAAAATGCTAGAACTCAGCTGAGGGTCCAGCAAGGTCTGACCCGAGCTGACGGACGGTGCCGGGTAGATGGCTCCAATGTCATCCCTGAGACTGCGCGGGCCGGGCCGGTCGCTCTTCCCAACAGAGCCGGTCTAGGCTCTGTTGCCCGGAGCCCCCGCAGCCCACGTGCGCCGGGCGGCTGAAAGGGAGCCCGCCCTCCCCACGTGCCATGTGCGCGCCTTTTCCTCCTGCCAGAGACCTGGGCAGCTCTGCACACGGGGAGGGGCCCAGCAGACACCAAAGGACAGAGAAGAACACACCATGGAATGACCCGGAAAGCCGGGACACGTCCCTCAGACACCTCTGACTCGGTGGACCCAGCTCTGGTCTCCGTCTTAGGTGGATAACCGGAGACCCGCGCGAGGCGGGGCCATGGGCTGTTTCCGAGGTGGAGAAGGGACCCAGCGAGCATGTCCCAGCCCACGGCGTGGTCCCTGTCGCTGGCGGGTGGCTCTCAGGGAACATTTAAAGGGACGAGAGAACGATTGTGACGTTCTCAGAGGATGAAGCCGTGTGCACAGACTGTATGTGTAGGATGGTCCTGGTCTTGGTTTTTGAATATACAGACGCAGGCCACGTTAGATCGTAGGACATACACTCAACCTTTCTTTTTTTTTTTGAGACAGTCTCACTCTGTTCCCCAGGCTAGAGTGAGTGCCGTGGCGTCAGCCTAGCTCACAGCAACCTCAAACTCCTGGGCTCAAGCAATCCTGCTGCCTCAGCCTCCCGAGTAGCTGGGACTACAGGCATGCGCCACCATGCACGGCTAATTTTTTCTATATATATTAGTTGGCCAATTATTTACTTTCTATTTATAGTAGAGACGGGGTCTCGCTCTTGCTCAAGCTGGCCTTGAACTCCTGACCTCGAGCAATCCGCCCGCCTCGGCCTCCCAGAGCACTCAATCTTTAACCACGGTTTCTCTGCAGTGGGGCAGGGCTGCCCGGACTCCTTCATGCTCTGGGAGAGGCTCGAGTTCCACAGGGACATGCGCTGGCCTCCGACCGCGTCCTCAGCCAGACGGCCAGCCACAGGCCAGCTTCCCGCAGCGCTGCCTGGGGCCTGGGGGCCCCGACCCGCATTCCGGGGCTGATGGAGGTGGGCTCAGGGAGGCCAAGGTCGTGCCCAAGGTGGTGGGCTTGCTAGCAGGGAGGTCTGCGCCAGGCCCTGCTGTCTCAAACCCACGGTGCACAGTCATGCTCGGAAACAGAACACAGTACCTCCTTTACAAAGCCACAGCACAAAGCCAGTGTATACTCGGTAAGCCGGGAGACGGCCTTCCAGCACCCTGCCTTGCTCCTGGCCCTGCCCGTCACCCTGGAAGCGTGGCCTCTGAGTCAGCTCGGCTGAGACCCGGCCTGGCCCCTGGGCCCTGCAGGTGCAGGTGGATTCAGGCAGCCGCCGCCAGGCAGGGCCAGCCCCCGGGGCAGGGGAGGCGGCTGGGGCCACCTGTCCGCCTTGTCTGAGAACCAGTCCCAGGGCTCGAGGATGGGAGCGGGCGTGCTCCCGCCTGGCCTTCTGCCCGTCCAAAAGCCGAGCCACACATGGGCTGAGCCAACGCCAAGCCTCCCACTGCCCCCCTCCCGTCTGCACCCCAGAGCTCAGCCCTGAACAAAGCTGGACGCTGCAGGGACCCCGCGGGTGGCCCGAGCTGCAGTTGGGGCATTCTGGACGCCACCGCGGCCCAGGGTCGAGCTGTGCTGCTCGCTCACAGAGCCCACCCTCTCTGGTCCCAGCAGGCAGCTTCGCACAAGGAGGCAGGAAGCAAGCTAGACAGAGGCGGCCCGGCTTCCTGGCCCCGGCGCGGGGCTGCACAGCTGCCGTTCTCCCCGGTCCCTGGCTGCCGCGCTGTTTGTTTGCTAACAGGACGCAGACTTGTCCCCCAGGCCCTGCAGCCCTGCGCAGGCCGGGCCCTCATCCCAGCCTTCCTCAGCACTTAGCTCACGGATGAACACACGGGGCGTGGACATGGGGGAGGCGCGCCCAGATCCAGCCGCCCCGCCCCCCCAAGCCACGCCGGTTTCAGCGACCCGTGCTGGTGTCTGGAGCTGTCATGAGCAGCGTGGCCGTGTGCGGCCTAGCCCCTGAGCTCAGTTCGGGTAACGTCCAGTGCACGGGGTGACCGCTCCTCCTTCCTAAGCTCTGGAGGGCTCCATGGGCCCGGCCGTCCCCGCGGCCAGGGCAGCTCACACCGAGGCCAACACCAGGGCAGTCTCGGACCGAGGTCCTGCCCCCGGGACCTTGAGCACGTGGGGACACGTCCGTGGTTGCCACAACGGGGGTGCTGCTGGCGTCGGGGGAGGGGCGGCAGGGCCAGGAGGCTGCAGACACCTGCCGTGCACAGGAGGCCCCAGAGCACGGGATATCTGCTTCCACATGCAGGTCGGGGACCCTGTGCCGGAACCTTCCACGACGTCGTGAGGACCACGTGGGGAAACACGTGTGTGCCGTGTTAGAACCGAGCTGGGTACGCAGGAGGCCGGCCTGAGCCAAACAGGGGCCTGTGTCATTTTTACCATCCTCACCTTGGCCTTGAGGGGTCAGGACGAGGTCATGATGCTTCAGGAAACAGCAGCCCAGGAGGGGCCAGGCTCGCCCTGAGCTGCAGCCAGGACCCCGAGCCCCTGCCAGGAGGGCTGGCCGCAGCCTGTACCCCCGACTGTCTGCAGCTGGTGGGATGGGGTGGTCCCCGGGGGCCGGCCGTGCTCCCGCCTCAGCAGCCCCTCCTCCCACGTCTGCAGCTCGGGGCAGGAGGGTGTTCGGACATGGAGACCTGCCCTGGGGTGTCTCTCTGACTTAGGGGGCTGCCCCGTGCTTTTGAGGAGGGGGACACAGAGGTGGGTATGCAGACTGCTAAGACTGCCCTTGGGGCCGATTCCCAGGTCGGTACCTGTGGGGTGCCAGGCGGAGCAGGGACATTGCCGTGACGTCGGCCCCTGCACCCTCTGAGCTCCCAGCCGCCTGCGGGTAGGGCAGTCTGGCCCCCACTGTTCCTGCTTCACAGTTGGAAACCGAGGCCCAGAGAGCTGCCGGACTTGCCGAGGGCCCCGGGCCACCAGGTCCCAGCAAAGTTTGTCCCCTGCTGCCACCCACCACCCAGGGGACGCGGCGGCTGGTACCTACCAGGTGCCCGGCGGCTCTCACCAGCTTGTGGGTGGAGAAGGGGAAGGCTTCGTCTCCCAGGTCTGCGTCCAGCACCTCCTGGAGGATGGCCCGGCTGTGGGGCAGAGCAGAGGTGGCTGTCAGCCGCCGGCACCACCCCCAGCGCATGGGGGGCCTGGCGGGGAAGGCCCGGGGGGCCGCAGCCACAGACAAGACCCCCATCCCGGGGCAGACGGCACGCGTGGATTAACGAACACACCCAGCCAGACACACGCCACGAAGGCCATCGGACCAGAAAGCCACCGTCAGCAGGACCGTGCTGGGACCAGCAGGACCTGGGGTGGAGGCCAGACCTGGACACCCTCTAGAAAGGAAGGCGGAACCGAGGCCAGGGCAGCCATCCGCCAACGCACGCTCCCAAACCCCACGGTCGGGAGGAGCAGAGCTTCCAGGAGGGGCTGGTGGGCGCCCACCTGCCCCGAGAGACGCTGGGCTCGGGGCCTCCGTGTGGCACAGAGAGGCAGAGAGCCCTGCCCGAGGCCGGGCCGGGTCAGAGCCGGCGCCTCCCACGCCCAGCAGGGTCTGAACACGCTCCTGCCGCCTCCCGACCTGACCTTCCCCGGCACCTGGGCCCCCGCCTGTCCCGAGCGGGTGTGAGATGCTGGCGCTGAGGACTGGGGGAGGCGGAGCACCAGAGACAGACCGTGCACCCGGGGGACTGTCACCGGCCCCAGGGCAGAGGCCGCGCCAGAGCACCCACGGCCGCTCTCTAGGGCAGGGAGTGCTCCTGAGCACCGGCCGAGCGCTGGCGGTCTGCACATCGCGGTCTGTGCAGACTCCTCGGATCCGCCCCCGGGTTCATTCAGCAGCTCCCCGAGGGCCGGAGCTTCCCTCCTCACCTCCTTCCCTCCTCACCTCCTTCCCTCCTCACCTCCTTCCCTCCTCACCTCCCGCCTCTCAGCAGTCAGGCCCTCACACCTACGGAAGCACGGAGACCCCACTGGGGCTGTTGCCCAGGTCTCTGCGGCAGCCCTCACTTCCTGGGCACTGTGCCTGCTTGCTCCCCTCCATGTCCTCACCCCTTCCCCTGCCCCCATGTCACCCTTTGTCGTCCTTCAGCTCTTGGTGCAGCTGTCACCTCTTCCAGGAAGCCCTCCCTGACTCCTGAGTCAGGGTCTCCCGCCAGGCCGTCTCTCTCACATGGGTTGTACCTGCCGCCCACTGCACCGGGAGCTCCGTGCCAACGGGGCGAGCCACCAGGCGTGCCTGGCACAGAGCAGGACTGAGAAGGCCCCGGTGTGGCACAGCAGGGCAGGCCCCACCTCCACCCCTGTGCGGCCAACCCTAACCCCAACCCCCACGGTGCGGTGGCCAGAGGCAGGGCGCCCCAGCAGGGACCCCGGTTCTCCTCCCAGCTCCTCGACTTCCTCTTACCCCCCCAGCCTCGCCCCTAGCCGCTGATCGGGGCAGTGATGCTGCCCTGCAGGGCCGACGTGAGGAGTCCGTGTGCAGACACACGCAGAGTACCGTGGCGCCGGTCATGGTCACGGAACGGCCACGTCTGGGCTTCCTGATGTGGCCTCCACCGGCCACGTGAAGAGATTTGAATTTAAGTTCACTAAAATTAAGGATCCGGCCCCACTGGCCACGTTTCAGGGGCTCCACAGCCACGCAGGGCTTAGCGGCCACTGTACTGGGGCCGCTCAGTTCTGGGGCATTTCCAGAAAGTTCTGTGGGGCAGCGGTTCGTGCTGCGCCTCCCACGGCCCGGACGATGCTCTGTGCTTCCCGAGCGCCAGCTCAGAGCGGGCCCTCGCCAGCCAGCGGCGGCGGCGTCACTGTTCACATAAGACTCTGGGCTATTTTGGAAAGAGAGAGGACGTGCTGGAGGAGATGGTTACGAGATCTCCAGGAGGAGGCAGCTCTCCCTCCCCGGCAGCTGTCACTCCCGCCTGGGGCGGCTGATAATTAGGCTGGAGGAAGCTGCTGTCCCCCTGGGCTGTGCCTTGATCTGCCTGTCTGCCCCTTCCTGTCCTGCCCACCTGTCCCCTCCTGCCCACCTGCCCCCCCAGCCCACCTAACTCCCTCCTGCCCACCTGCCCCTCTTCCTGCTCACCTCCCCCACAGCCCACCTCCCCCACAGCCCACCTGCCCCACAGCCCACCTGCCCCACAGCCCACCTAACTCCCTCCAGCCTACCTGCTCCTCTAGCCTACCTGACTCCCAACCCACCTGCCCGCCTCCCTGATGGTAAAAATAGCCATATTCTCTGTGGCAATGAAGCCAAGGAAGCCAAAGCCAGAGCATCCCAGGACCCAGCTCGGCCACCAGCTCCCTCCGCCTCCCCAGAGACGGCACTGGGCCCACCCAGGGCAGGAGTGAGAGCCGGGGCTTCCCGAGGGCCACTCTGGGGCCTGCCGCCTCTACCCCGGGCCCAGCAACAGATGCTCTGCCAAAGCCACGTGTCCCTCGGAGGAACAGCCCCCGGACTACGGGAGCCGTCCGCCACCCTCTGGGCGCACCCCTCCTGCCCTGCTCCCCCGGCCCGACGCGCTTCCACGGATACGCAGGCGTGCACCTGCCCAGGGCCTGGGCCTGCCAGGAACGCCGTCCCTGCAGAGAGCCCGCGGCTCGAGCCCTCCTTCCCTCCAGGGCTCTGCCCAGATGTCACCTCAACACGCTGGTTGCCACGGGCAGCCCCACGTGAAACATTCGGCGGAAGCGGATCGGGGTTAAGGTACTTGACCAGCCGGGTTCTATTCACCCGTGAGCAGGTGTGCACGGCGTGTCCTCTGCCGGCCTCTGGGCCAGCAGCACCGGTGCAAAGACACCACGCCTCGGTCCCCGCCCGGGCTCGTGCGCAGTGGGAGGGGAGACCGGCCAGGCCAGGGCTCAACCGGGGCCACGGGTTTGCCAGCGCGAAGGTGCAGGGAAGGCGGGCCCGTGGCAGGGGCTCAGCAGGACCCCGGCTGGCAGGACGCCACTCAGACACAGCGAGCTTTGCCAAGGCGCTGACTCGGGTCTCCTGCTGGGGCGCGGCTTTCTCCCCACCCCCCACTACCCCCGCACCCCGATCTCCCCAGCCGCGTCCGCCATTTTCTAGGAAGGTGTCCCCTGTCACCCCCCATGTCCCAGAGGCAGTGCCGTCCCTCTAGGCTCTTCCTCCCGCCCCATCCCGCCCAAGGAGCCCACGGCCCTCCAGCCCGAGGCCGCGGAGATGGCAGGAAGCACCTGGAGGAGTCCCAGCCCCCGAGGCGCGACTGGGCCCTGGCGGGCAGTGGAGGAAGGCCCAGAGCAGAGTCGTGTTTCCCCGAAAATAAGACCTGCCCATAAAATAAGCCCTAGCGGGATGTCTAAGCATGTGTGCAATAGAAGCCCTACCCCGGAAATCAGCCCTAGTGACGGGCGTGGCTGCGCAGCATCTGCACAGCCCGTGCGTGTCGCCGCGGAGCAGGAAAGAAGCTGAGCAGCCCTTCTCATCCGCCCCGTGACAGTTCTAGCGCTCGGCATGAGAGATGGGGGCTGACGGTTCTAAAGGAAATAGAGTCGCAAGACATTCAGGATGGATGTTCCAGAAGACGAAGACTTAACTGTGTTTGAATAAATGTAGATGGTTGTACTGTTCTTAAAAAAAAATAACACATCCCCTGAAAATAAGCCCTAGGGTGTCTTCGTGAGGAAAAATAAATATAAGACCCGGCCTTATTTTGAGGGAGACACAGTAACTGCGAGGAGGGCAGCAGTAGGAGCGTGTGGGTTTCTGAGAGCTCAGCGGGGCCATGGCCACTTGCTAGCTGTGTGACCTTGGGCAGATGTCTCTGCCGCTCTGGGCCTCACCTTCTTCAGCAATGCCAATAGGAAACACCATTGCTGCCACCACCACCTGCGACTGGGATTGGAGATGCTGGCTCAGGGCTCAGATCACGGGTGCTCCGTTGGTGGCCATGGACACGATGTGCCTCGCCCTCTGTCCCCACCACCGGTCCCCCCTCACCGCAGCAATGCCAGAGGGAGCTCTCCAAAGTGCGCACCTGCGCAGGTGGCCTCCTGCCTAAGCCCCTTCAGTGTCTTCTGCACAAGCCAGCGTCTGCAGGTGCTCACAGGGTCCTGGCCCTCGCAGGAGGGGAACACAGCTCCGAGGTAGCAGAATGACGAGTGACAGAGTAACCCACCCGCAGACCTGGTCCGCTGGTGTCCAGCGAGGGGCAGGAGGACATTCTCGCCAGCGTAGCGGGTAGAACCCGGGCCTGGCTCTGCCCACCGAGAGGCGGTGGCTGAGATTCCCAGGCTGCTCCAGGGACCCAGAGACCACACTGCCCCCGGGGTCCCTCAGTGACACATGGACCCCCGCCACCAGCCACTGAAGTTCAGTGTGATTCCCGTGTCAAGCGCCTGTCTGGTGCTTTGAGGACTATTTATCCAGAGCCCGTCTCTGGGTTGAGCAGAGCGGTTAACTACTCAGAGTGCCCCATTCTGGGCTGGTAAGTTGCTGTGCCCACGGGCCAGCTGGAGGGCCTGGGGTCCAGGAGCCAGGTGTGCCCAGGTGTGCCCAGGTGCGCCCAGGTGCTCGGCCGCGCCCTCTCCTCACCTGGCCGGGCCCTGCACGCTGATCATGCCCAGGTCCTCAGAGCTGTCAATCAGCTGGCACCGGAACTTCTGGTCCTGCAGCACCGTGGTGATGTGGGACCAGTTGTGCTGGGCCACGGCCCCGCCCACGGCCAGGTAGTAGCCGTCCCCTGGAAGAGAAGCACCTGCGCTTAGAGGTTTCAGGGACGGGGAGGGGGACGGGGAGGGTGGCCCGAGGGCCGCCTATTTCTTGAAAGTAAACAATAAAACCCAGAGCTTATTAGCATCCCCCCAGGGGCCCTGTGTTCTCACTGAAGAGCAAAACTCGGGTCCTTCGCTGGGGCGCGGAGCTGGGGCCCCCGGGACCTGCACAGGCCAGAAGGGGTGTCTGAGGCTTGCACCGCTTCTGGGGCTTCCTGATCCAGAAAGGTCAAGAGCCCAGTGGCGCCAGGGCATGGGGAGATTCTGTCCCACCTCGGCCCCCAGGGCTGGGTGACCCTGGACGGACTCTTCCCCTCTGAGCCTCAACGTCCCCACTGGCCACCTTCACCCTCTACTTCCACGGCCCCAGGTCTCTGGGTTCCGTGCCTTGGCTGTTTCTGGGCTTGTGGGGCCGGGCTCTGGGCCAGGGGCCTCACAGGGAACACCCCGTTCATCCTACTTGGGATGCTAAGCCATCACCGTCCCTGGGTCTCAGAAAAATAGACTGAGGTTCAGAGAGGTTACACTTGGTGGGAGAAGGTGGAACCACGTACGGCTCTGATCCGCAGCTGTGGGACACCCACTGGGCCACGCTGCCACCCGGGTACCCATGCTCAAAGGGCAGCCCACCTCAGCCCAGCGTCCGGGGGAGCCACTGCCTGGGTTCTGTGGCCTTGGACAGCTGCGTGGCCTTGGGCAGGCACAGCCTCCCCGAGCCTCCACATCCTCATCCGGAATTTGGGGCTAAAAGAACCGCTCGGCAAGGGTGCTGTGACTATTCAGCCATCACCCTTGCCTGGTGCCTGGTGCCTGGTGCGGGCCAGGCGCTCACTGAATCACCCCGCCCCCCAACTCCGGGGTGGGGGCAGCCATGGAGGAAGCCCTGACTCAGGGGAGGCAGTGGGGGACGTCCCCTGTGCCCACTTTCTATGCACCCCCTATCCTCCCTCCCAACCTGTTAGGGGCGACGGCACCCGGGCGGGTCCCTGAACCTGCGGCCCCAGTTCTTCCATCCGGACGAGACGGGACCCCCACAGGCCGCCGGGGAAGTTAAGAGCCCGGCTGGCTGGAGGTGGCAAGACCCTCGTCCCCTCTCCAGGGGCCCCAGTCCTGTGCGGGGGCGGGGCTGCCCCTCTACCCTGGACGCCAGTGGGAGGGGCAGGAAGGAGGCCCTGGGGCATGAGGGCAGGAAAGCCCCAGCCCTACTCTGGGCGGCCCACCGTGGGGGGCTCGGGAGGACCCTACCTGGGCACTGCCGCACCCGCTAGCCCTGCCCCATGGTGCCATCGTGGTCACTGGCCACCTGCAGAGACTAGAACTCAGACAGCTACCTCTCCCTTTCCAGCAAGCGGCAGAGACTGGCCAGCAGGGCTCTGACACTCCCGGGGCTGGGGTGGGCCCGGCCACCCCTGGAAGCTGGAGCTGGGGACCCTCCTCCTTCCCACCACCCGCTTCCTGGGGCTTCTGATCCGAGAAAGGTCAAGAGCCAGTGCGCGCCAGGGGCTGGGGAGCTTCTGTCCCACCTCGCACCCGGGCTGGGTGACCCTGGACGGACTCTCTCCCCTCTAGCATCTCAACTGTCCCCACTGGCCACCTTCACCCTCTCCTACTTCCACGCCCGAAGGTCCTGGATTCCCGTGCAGCTTTTTTTGGCCATTTCCCAGGCTTAGTGGGGCGTCGCTCTGACAGCGGGCCTCAACAGGGACACAAATACTAAACACTATAAAATATATGAGAATAGAAAAACTGACCATAAGCTCGGGTAAAGGAAAAAGAAAAAAAAGAGGAGGGGGAGGGGATTACAAGAGGTTACACTTGGTGGGAGAAGGTGGAACCACGTACGGCTCTGATCCGCAGCTGTGGGACACCCACTGGGCCACGCTGCCACCCGGGTACCCATGCTCAAAGGTGCTGTGACCATTCAGCCATCAGGAAGGAGACCCTGGGGCACGAGGGCAGGAAAGCCCCAGCCCCACTCCGGGCGGCCCGCCGTGGGGGGCTTGGGAGGACCCTGCCTGGGCACTGCCGCACCCGCTAGCCCTGCCCCGTGGTGCCATCGTGGTCACTGGCCACCTGCAGAGACTGGAACTCAGACAGCTACCTCTCCCTTTCCAGCAAGCAGCAGAGACTGGCCAGCAGGGCTCTGACACTCCCGGGGCTGGGGTGGGCCCGGCCACCCCTGGAAGCTGGAGCTGGGGACCCTCCTCCTTCCCACCCACGGTTCAGGTCCCACCGTCAGCACAGGCCAGGAAGGAGTGGGGAGCCCAGCCCTGGTGGCAGCATCCCGGCAGGGGCTGTGGTCCTCACACCCCTCCCCCCCCATCCAGACGAGCCCTGGGACACTCCTGACCTCGTCACACCCTGTGCTGTGTGCTCCCCTGTGCCCCATTGCTGCCTGCCCTTCCAGACCCACCCCGAAGGCCTCAGCCTCCAGGAAGCCCTCCTTGACCATCAGAGCTCTAAGTGCCTCTGGATCACTCAGGCCAGTCCCTGGTGTCACCACAGCTCCCATCTCTCCCTCACGCCCACACCCAGAGAACACCCGGAATGGCCCCAGCGTGGGCTGCAGCATCCCTGGCCTGAATGACCCACCTGTCCCCAGGCCACCCTCCTGCCCACCATCTAAAGCCCAGTCTCCCCACGTCACACCCCGGCTCCCCACGGCTCCAGGAACCTGTCAGACCCCCCTGCGACCTCCTCTCGGTCCCCTGAGACCTCTTCTCGGTCCCCTGCGCTCTCACATGGCACTCGGCTCTGACGAGCTTCACTCCGGGTCCCGAGCAGGTGGCCCTCGGGCCTCACACTCACGGCTGCCTCTGCAGGGCCTGGGCCATGCCTCGCCCAAACAACCCGGCTGGACACTACCTCCCCGGGAAGTCCCCCCGCCCCTCCACCTGCAAAGCGCAGTGGCAGCCTGTGCCTCGGTGTGCCCGGGGACCATGCCCTGCACAGTGTCCTCTGGACTGTGGGGGTGGGGTGCCTCTTCTCAAGCCCCCACCCCCTCTGGGGACACCTCACAGGGATGCTACCCCATCCCCGGGGGGTGCTCTGGGGAAGCTCACGGGCCGTGGCCGTCCAGGCCCAGAGGCAGTTCTGCGGCTCGCTGGCCTCCCTTCCCACATCCCTGAGCCTCCGTCTTCTCATCTGTAAAATGGGCAGAGCCACAGCCTCTGGCCCACGGGGCTGTGGAGAGCACCCACCGGATAATGGCCGGTCAGGGTGCCAGCAGGCTCCCTCCTCCCTTTCTCCTCTCCACGCTAATGAGCACAAGAGGAGAGTGAAGCCAAAACCACAAGCCAGTCCCCAGGGGCTCCCTGGCCCCGGGCTGGGGTCACGAGAGGACACTGGAATGCTGGACAGCGTCCCCGGGCCACGGCAGATGCACACGCCCCGCCCAGCCCTGCGCACGCGTGCACTCGCGTGGCTCTTGCGCCTCTGCTGCTGTGTGGCCCCGCCAGTCCACGGCCACCCGAGGCCGGGTCCTGAGGCCAGCGGTTGGCCCGGGGCCAGGGGTGGCAGAGCCGCCAGGGGTGGCAGAGCCGCCAGGGGCTTGTCCCCCTCCGGCCGGCTTGGGCGGGGGCTGTGGACCTGCCTTGTGGGTCTCGGCATCGCCGGGATGTTTCCCTGGGCACAGACGCCGTCTGCGATGTTTTTAAAGATCAAAAGAGACCATTCAAAGCAACTCTTAAGATTGGCAGCTGCTTTGTGCACGGCCTCGATCACGTGGAATCGTCGCTCTCTCTGACCTAATGGATCTGACAGGGCATGCATAATTAGCACGCATGTTAAAAGCACACATATTTAATGCACATGCATATTCATAGCAGGAGCGTGCGTTTTTTAAGCCCGAAAATAAAACAAAGCCGCAGCGGTTTTCTCTTGCTGAGCAGCGTCCCCGGGACCCACAGAGCCGCCCTGGGGGATGTGACTCATTCCCCCATGCCCATCACCGCCACCGAGAGCAAGCCTCCCACGGCTCAGCGCTGCCCGGGCTGCAGCCCCGGGGATCCAGCAGAACCATCTGGAAAGGCATCTCGCCGTGCGCTGCTGCAAGGCGGCTCCGCCTGCAAAGCGCTTACCTGACAGCTTCCCTGCGGGGGAAACTGAGGCCCAGGGAGGCGAGTCCCAGAGCCAGGCAGGGCAGCGCCTGGGTCGGGGCTTCGGTGACCTGTGTCCTCACTGGGGTCCCGCTCTTGGGCCTCCCCGCTGGGCCCGGTCAGCAGCTCTGGGCCACCCCCACCCCAGGCCACCCCAACCTTCTCACGGGCTGGCCCGTCACGGCACACGCTTCCAGCTGGCGGCTCCTGCCATCCCTCAGAGCCCAGGTCAGACACCGCCTCCTCCAGGAAGCCTTCCTCACCCCGAATCAGCAGCTTCCCACGCCGCCCCTGCACTGTCCGCTCCCCCTGCACCTGTCTGGGCTCCACTGGGGGGCCCTGAGCCCCACCGGCCTGTCGTCCTCTCGCACTGTCTGCCCCGGGCCTGCCCGCCGGCAACAGCCCCGCTGAAGGGAGCAACGAGCGGCTAAGCACACGTGCCGGGCCGAGCCTGCCGCCCCTCGGCCTCCACGTCACCTGCGGCAGGAGGACGGGCCCCTCTCGCGCACACACACAGCCACGTGTCCCCGTCAGCCTGGCGTCTGCAGGCTCATCTCATCCCGCCCTGTTCCAGCCGCCCACGGAGGCCCGGAGGCCCTGCCAGCCCCGGATCTGCCCTTAAGGCCCTGGGCAGGGAGGCCACCTTGTCCCGCCGCCCCCGCCTCCACCAGCCTTCACTTTCCTCTTGCCACATCTAATACCCTGCGTGGTCCCCCTATTCTAGTTCCCTGATCCCGTGTCCTCCCACCACAAACGCACGGCCGGAACCTTCTCCGGCTCATCGCTGGCGCCTGGGTGCCTCCAAGGCCCAGCCTGGCGCACAGTAGGTGCTCAGGAGCCGTCATGGATGCGAGAGTGGCTGCCCTGAGTCACGCACAAGCCCCCTTCTCCCCAGCCCCTCGCCCCCCCCTGCCTAGGCCCGGGCTCAGACCCCCCAGGGGGCCCCCGCTGAGGACACAGCACAGTCAGGCCAAGGCAGGACGAGGCCGCCGGGTTTTCTGAACGGGCTGAGCCCTCCCTGCTGGCCGCGTCCCTGCCCCGGCAGGCAGCACAGGGAGGACAGCGGCACCTTCCCTCTGCAAGTCCAGTGGCTCGGAGGCGGCAACAGCCCCTTTCTGGAGAAAGAGACCGAGTCCCGCTCTGCTCCTTCCTCCTCCCCAGGGGAGCTGGATTACAGCACTAGAGACCAGGTCACTCCCGTGTGACCCAGGACGACACAGGCTCAGGCAGCTGAAGCAACGGGAGGCAGACCTGGCTCAGGTAACAAGCAAAGAACGAAGGTGCTGAGCCGCCCGTCACCCAGGGCATGCAAGCAGAAGTGGAGGGAGGCAGAGGGTATCAGCGTGGGCTCTGAGCCAGGCACCCTCTGAGGACCCGGCCAGGCCTGAGACCGGGGGTCACAGGGGTCACCAGAAGCCGACACAGCACGTCAGAAAGGAGTCGGCTTCCTGGGTGGGGACCACAGCCTTCTCCTGGCTCACTCTGTTCCGGCAGCCGCGCTGAGTACGCCCAACCTGCGCCCACTCCGCGGCGCGGACAGGTTCAAAGGCACGATCGCCGGGTACGCGGGGCCCGGCGTCTCTGCCCGAGCAATCCCTGCACTTAGCTCAAGCGAGACCTGCAATCTCCAGGCCCGGCCGCGGCGGTGCGACAGCTGATTACAGAGCAGCCCCGGCAGCCCGTCCCGACCCGTCCCGCCCACCCCCGTGGGCACCGGCCCCCGAGAGGGCTGCGGTCACAGGCCCGCTGCGCCCAGAAGCCCCTCTCACCTTCGAAGGCGGGGGCCAGCGGGGAGGCCTGGGGGCCGGGCGCCAGGCGGCTGACGGTGAGGTCGCTCTCGGTGCCGCCGCGGCGGTTCAGCATGCAGGTGTACACCGTGGAGCCTGCGGGCGGGAGGAGGACCCGGGTCTGCGCCCGCCCAGAGCCCGAGAGCCACACGGCAGGGGTGGCGCCTCGTCACGGAGCCCGGATGCCCCCGGCAGGAGTGACCTGGAAAGGGCCCCCGCGCAGGGACACCACAGAGGCCGAGTGACCAGGGAGAGCCAGTGACGGGCAGGTCACCCCACCACCGTCTTGCTTGGGGGAGGGAAGCTTCGTTCTTCCTGAGATGCCTGGACACTGGCTGCCACCCCCACCCCTACCCCACCCCACCCCCACCGCAGGGCTCCCATCCTGCACTCATCTGGGCCCCGGCGCTGGGCCCGGCAGAGCAGGAGACCCCGCGGATGCCTGTGCACAAGTGGCCGTGCCGATGGAGGACGGGGCGGGGTGCACGGGAGGGGGGGAGTGGGGGAGGGGTCCCAGGGGAGGGGGAGGGGACACACGGGAGGAAGGGAGCAGGTGCGCGTGGGCCGGCAGGGCCGGCAGCAGGTGCACGTGACGGGGTGGGCTCGCTGGCTGGGCAGATGACGCCATGGGTCGAATTGCGTCCCCCAAAAAGATATGCTGGAGCCGTATCCCCCAAGACCCAGGAATGTGACCTCGTTTGGAAAAAGGGGCTTGCAGATGCGATCAAGTCACACGAGGTCGTCGGGGTGGGCTCCAACCCCATATGGTGACCGTCCCTATGAGAAGGTGAGGACGCAGGGAGAAGCCAGGTGACAACAGGCAGAGGCCGGGGTGACACAGCAGCCAGCAGAGCAAGGCTGAGGTTCCCGGCCACCGCCGGGGGCCAGGGAGGGAAGGAAGGGTTCTCCGGAGTCTCAGGGACAGACACCCTCACTCTGACCCCGGCTCCCGGGCGGGGAGAGGACACACTCCCGCCGTGCGAGCCGCGCAGTCTGCGACACTCCCACGCAGCCCTGGGACACTCTAAAGACGGGGGTGGGTGAGTTTCAGGGTGTGCGGGTGACCAAAGGGGAGAGGAGTATCCCAAATGTTGCTCAGAACAGACTTACACTGAAAAATCACTCATTATTTATCTGAAAAACCCACTAACTCAGCGTCCTGTGCTTCTGTTCAACTCTGGAAGCCCCACGTGGGGGGCGGCGGGGCCCCCGTCCCAGGGCAGGTGACTCCGGGCTGGCTGGCGTATGTCCTTCCTGGAGCAAGGTTGCCAGGACGGAGGGACAGAGGGGCGGAGGTGGCGAGGGCCCAGGGCCTGGGCTTGGGGCAGAGGGGACTGGGCGGGGGACTGGGCAGGGCCGGCCCAGGCCGAGGACGGGGAAGCCGCGTGCTCAGGTGGCCCGGAGGGGATGGGTCAGCTGCCGGGTCGTCTCAGCGCCCAGGGCCCCTGGCGTGACAGGACCGTGACCCCAGCCCTGGCGCCCCACCTGGGGGTCGGCGGACGTCCGCGGAGAAGAGCCAGTCGGCAGCCTTCGCGGCGTCCGGCCCCAGCAGGTAGAACTTCCCGAAGTAGGACATGTCGAACACAGCGGCGGCCCCTCTGCAGGCCAGGCACTCCGCCTTGATCTGGAAAGGCCGGGGGGCAGGGGAAAGCTGGGGTGGGGCTTCCAGGGCTGCGACCTCCTGAGGCCCGTGGGGGCCGGGGCTCTTCCCAGGACACTCGCTCTGAGCCCTCCCGCCCCGCCCGCAGGTGCCCAGCCCTGCCCGCTTGGGGACAGGGAACGTTCCCAGGGTGGACACGTCCCCTGCCGCAGCGCAGGGCTCAGTAGCTCAAACGGACCGAAACCACACCGCGTATGTCATCTGACCACAGCGAAATTAAATCAGAGATCAGTAGTAGCAGAAGAAAGATCGGAAAATTCACAAATACGTGGAAATCAAACCACACGTTCCTAAAGAACCGAGGGGTCGGGGAAAACCCGCAGGGGAAGGAGAAACTGCTTTGAGATGAACGGAGATGAAAACGCAACACGCAGACACCGGGGTGCAGCCGAGGGGACCCCCCACCCCTCGCCCGTGTCACGGAAGGAGGTCTCAAATCCATAACCCGACCTTCCACTCTGAGAAACTGGGAAAAGAGCAAACTAAACCCAAAGCAAGAAGGAAGAAATAAATGATAAAGAGTAGAACAAAATAAAATAAGAATAGAAACATAGAGGAAATCAGCAAAATCAAAAGTTGATTCTTTGAGAACAAAATGGACAGAGCTTTGGCCACACGGGCGAAGACGAGAAGACCCACTGCGCGCAGCTCCAGCTCGAAAGCCGCACGTCCCTGCCACCGGGCGCCGCGGGACACGGCCGGGGACACGTGCCAACAGACCAGACGCGAAACGCACATGTTCCCAGGAACACGCAAGCGCTTGCCCTGAGACAGAACGAAGCCGCCACGGGAAATCCTCACCCAGCCGTAACGCGAAGGGGAGTGAACTCGTGATTTAACAACTCTTACCGGCCCGGGCCCAGGCGGCTTCGCTGGTGAATTTTGCCCAGCATTCCAGGAAGGGTTAACACCAATTCTTCCCAAACTCTTCAAAAAATACAGGAGCAGGAAATACTTTCCGGTTCATTCCGGGAGGCCCAGTGCGGCCCTGGCACCAAAACCAGACAAAGACGCAAGGATCCGACAGACGGATACCCCCTATGAATACAGACACAAAAGTCCTCAGCAAGCCCCGGCAAACCGCCTCCAACAAGGGAGGAAAAAAGATCACACTCCGCATCGGCGGGATTTACCCCAGGAACGTGAGGTTTATTTGACATCTAAACATCGGTTGCTGTCACGCACCACGCCAGGAGAACGAGGGACAAAAACCATCCGACAGACTCAGAAAAAGTATTTGACAGAATCCACCTGTCCACGATAAAGACACACAGCAAACTGGGGACACAAGGGAGCCCCCTCACCCAGACGAGGGGCCCCAGACACCACAGAGCTAACATCACACTTAACAAGGACAGACCACATGTTCCCCAAGATCGGGAACAAGACGGGGCGCCCACTCTCGCCGCTTCTACCCAACGTTGCCCTGCAGGCCCTAGCCAGGGCAATTTGGCAAGAAAAAAAAAAATCAAAGGCATCCAGGTTGGAAAAGAAAAGAAAAATATCCCTCTTTGCAGATAATGCGATCTTACACACAGAAAATCCTAAGAAACGCACAAAAAAACTGCTGGAACTAATAAAATGGTTCAACAAGGTGGCAGGATGCAAGGTCAGTATATAAAGACACAAACATTTCATATTTTGACTTCTGAGAAGAAAAAAAAAAAAAGACACAAACAAAAAACAAAAAAGTATTACATTCCTATATTAGCAATGAGCAATTTTGAAAGGGATATTTATAAAATAACCCCATTTACATCAGCATCATCAAAATAACAAAATGCTTAGGAATAAATTTAACAAAAAAGTGCAAAACTTGTACTCCACAACTAGAAAATATTTTTGAAAGAAATCGAAGACCAAAATAAACGGAGAGACATCCCACGTCCAGGACATGGAAGACTGACTGTTATAATCGCCAACACATCCCAGATTGATCTACGGATTCAACACAATCCCTAACAAAGTCTTAGCTGGCTTCTTGGAAGAAACTGACAAGCTGACGTCAAAATTCCTATGGAAATGCAAGGGACCCAGAACATTAAAAAACAGGAAGAACAGAGCTAAAGGACTCACGCTTCCCGATTTTTAAACTTACTGCAAAGCTACAGCAATCAAGACAGCATGGCACTAAATACAGACAGACATAGACACGAAGGAAACAGAACTGAGAGTCCAGAAATAAACCCTTGCATTTACGGCCAGTTGATTTCCCACCAGGGTGCCAAGACAATTCCACGGGGAAAGCAGTCTTTCCAGCAAACTGTGCCGGGGTAACAGGACAGCCACGTGCAGAAGGATGAGGGTGGACCCCTTCCTCACGCTGTGCAGAAAAATGAATTCTAATGGCTCCTAGAGCTAAGTGAAAGAGCTAGAACTATAAAACTCTTAGAAGAAAACATAAGAGTACATTTCTGTGACCTCGGTTTAGTTTCTTAGACGTGACACCAAAAGCACAAGTGGCAAAAGGGAAAAATACGGACGAATCGGTCACCATCAAAATTCAACAGGTTGTGCTGCAAACGATGCCATGCAGAAAACGAGACCACCACTACGGGGCGGAGGAAACCTCCGCGTGTTCTAGGTCTGATACGTGACCTGAACCCAGGCCATGCACGTGAGAAGTGCTCACCACCACCCGTCGTGACAAAAACGCAAATCAAAACCACGTGAAACCACTTCACGCCCACCAGAGAGCAGCAGGCGTTGGGAGGCCACGGAGAATCCGGCACGCTCTGCGCGGTGCGGGACTGTGGCGTGGAACGTCCACTTTGGAAACCAGCTGGCATTTCCTCAAAATGCTCAGCGGAGTCACCGCGTGACCCGGCCATTCCGGTCCCAGTTACACGCCCACGAGATGCAAAAACACATACATGCAAACAAAGCCGTGTCCATGCGTGTTCACAGCAGCGCTGTGCGTAAGAGCCAAAAAGTGAAAAGAACTCAACGTGCACCGGCTAAGGAGTGGTAGACACCACGTGTGGGACAGAAAGGGACGAGGCGCCGGCACCTGCCGCCGCATGGCGGGCCCTGAGAAAGTCCTGCTGAGTGAGAGAGGACAGGGACAAGAGGGCACGCGCTTTATGAGTCTGCTTCCGTGACGTGCTCAAGCCAGGCACACCCACAGAGTGGGCAGATGAGGGGCTGCCTTGGGCTGGGGGGTGACTGCGGACCATTGTGGGGTTTCTTCTGCCAGCACACGAAAACGTTCTGAAACCAGCCGTGGTGACAGCTGCAGGGCCCCGTGAACTCAGTAAGGAACGTTGCTGACCTGTACCTTTAAGTGGGTAGGTCGCGTGGCGTGTGAGTTATGTCTTAACCACGTGGTTTACGAAAACCACGCAGCATCTCCCCCTGTTTCCCTCCCCAGGGCGTGTGAGGCCCCGGCCAGGCTGTCAAGGGCTCCTGTCATCCGCTGTTGTTCCCCGGTCCCCCTCTCTTGGGGCTGGCATGTCACCCGCCGGCCGGCGAGCAGAGACGGCCACCTCGTGGCCATTATCGAAAAAAAAAAAATGAGGACAGCGGCAGCCACCTGGTCCCGGGCAGCTGCCATGTCGGGGGCCGCCTCATCTCCCTCCAGACCCACTGCCGCCCCCGGGCAGCTGGCATGACCCTCCCGTGCCGGGCGCTCTCTGGGGCCGGGGGGTGGCACAGCCAGGACATGTCGGCACTATACCTGCCGGGCCACGCAGGTCCCCCCCCACCTCCACGGTCAGCGAGCCACGCGGGCGGCCAGGATTGGAACCGGCCGTGGGTTGGGGGGCATTTACACCAGGGGAACGGGCCCCGCGTCCCCCCAGGGAGCAGGATGTTAAACCGCCACCAGCACACCACCCCCGGGCCGCCCCCCGACCCCAGCCCTGCGCGGCCGCTCCGGCTCCGCCCGGCATCGCTGTCCCTTAAGGGCCCCCACCCTCTGCCGGGTGCCTCTGCTGACGCTGCCGGGGCTGTCACCAACCCAGCCGGCTTCCTGGGCCAGCACGCGTCTCCCCGGGCTGGGGAGCTGCCAGCGCCGAGAACCAGGCACGCTCCTCGCGTCGGGACTGCTGCGGGCGCTTGCGGAGGCTGGTGCAGCCGCGAAGCCAAGTTGGCATCTCCCCGAGCTCCCGCTTCCTGCAGGGCCACGAGTCCCTCGGGAGGTGCCAGACAGAGCCCGCGAGGCGGCCGCGAGAGACTTGGGCGCCGAGAGGGCCTGGCGCGCGCGCGCAGCACGATCCCCTCCCGGGCCGGCAGCGGATACTCCATGCCAGAGCCAGCTTTGGGGGAAGTGATGGGAATAAATAGTTTCTTCCCTGCAGGACTCTCGGGGCCCCGGTGCAGACTGGGAACGTGGGGGCCTCGTCTGAAAAGCAGGAAGAGTTCCCAGGCGGCCGCAGAGCATCAGCCCCCCGCGGGGCCCCCCGTAGGGCACAGGGTCCCCGAGTGACTGCAGCGTCCAAAGCCCCAGAATCGGCTCCTGCTAGAACCCCTCGCGGGCGCCTCCCGGGCCGTCCCTGGGCTCTGCTCCCACACCAGACTCGCGGTGGCACTTCCCGCCGCTGTGTCCCCGGTGTGGGCGTGCACAGGACAGCAGAGGGGCCCTCGGTGATCGCGTGACTAGGTGGCTGGGCGGGCCAGGCTGGACGCTGGCACTGTTGGCTCTGCAAAAACTGCCTGGGACAACACGCCGTGCAGTGTGGACGCTGGTGGGGGCCCCGGCCCCAATACTCGCCACCCTCACCCAGCGGAAGGAGGGAGCCGGGCCCTCGGGGGAGGCAGTGAGCCTCCCGCTGCCCGTCTGAGCGGCCCCCACGCCCACGTTTGGAGCAGGAGGAACCGTGGGCAGACCACAGGCCGCGGCGTCTCCCGCTCTGGTCTCCTCTGCTCGTCCCCTGGGGACCGCGTTGTCTGGGGTCTACCCTGCAGGAACTGCGGCTGGAGCCCCCTGCTCGCACCCCCAGGGGGGACGGAAGCTCAGAGCCGCTCCCAGCCGGACTCAGCCCCCAGCCCCAGTCCGGAGCGGGAATGTTCCCCCCAAGGCCGGCTGGAGGAGGGAGGAGAGCGAGGGAACATCACGTGATTCCTCCTCAGAACCGAGTCGGCCCAAGGACGGTGAGCACAGAGCTGGAGGCTCACGGAGCTCTCACTTCCGTCAGGGCCGGGCCGGGACCTGCGCGGGGCGGGGCTACGCACCGTGTCGTGGTGGGGCGGGAAGTCGAAGGTGTACTCGTCCCCCAGCAGCCGGCCGTAGGCGTAGTCCTGGTGCGCCCGGTTCCCGTAGGCCCCGTAGTAGTCGTACGCCAGGACCTGGGAAGAGGGGTGTCACCGCAGCCCCTCTGGCCTCCCCCTCCCTCCGCCCCCAGCTGCGCCCTGCAGAGGCCTGAGGACGCACAGGCCAGGCCCCCACCTGCAGGGGAACGAGCGGACACGGACGAGGGGTGACACGGGCGAGGGGTGACACGAGCGAGGGGAGACACGGGCGAGGGGAGACACGGGCGAGGGGAGACACGGGCGAGGGGAGACACGGGCGAGGGGAGACACGGGCGAGGGGAGACACGGGCGAGGGGTGACACGGGCGAGGGGTGACACGGGCGAGGGGTGACACGGGCGAGGGGAGACACGGGCGAGGGGAGACACGGCGTGGGGTGACACGGGCAAGGGGTGTGGAGTTCAGGCACAGAACGTGGCACAAATGGCGCCCGTGGTGGGGGGCCTGGGGGCTGGTGCCACATCTGGGGGCCCAGGAGGCTGGCGGAGGAGCTTGGTAACCGCAGTGGGGCTGGGAGGACCCCGGGGGCCACTGTCAGGCCTCCCGCCCGATGCCAAGGCTGTGGGACAGAGCCCAGGGGTGGCTCTTGAAAGAGGTGGGCGAGGGGTGAGGGTCGGCCGCAGTGAGGGCTGTGGAGGCTGGTGCACGGCGCCCACTTGGGGCCAAGCCCTGCTGGACGTGCCTCACACGCCTGTTGAGGGCAACCCTTGCTATGAATAAGGAAACTGAGGCACAGAGGGTCAAACCTTGCCCCAGGTTGCAGACAAGTCCCCAATAGAGCAGAAGCGTGAAGCTGGGCAGACACGTGGGCCCCGGGGTCTGGCTTCTCTGCCGTGGCCTCAGCCCCCCACCCCTGCGATCTGCCTGCCTCTCTCATACGCCCCCAGCACCTCCCTCACCTCTGCCCCCTGCCCCTCCCCCACCTCTGCCCCCTGCCCCCGGCCCTCCCTCTGCACATGCACAGGTGTGAACAGAGGTGCAGCGATTCTCCCAGAGCACTGGCCTGAGCCGCACCCCCCCTTCGCAGGGAGACCCAGGTGAGGCTGTGGCTGCCTCAGGCCCTGCATCCCCCCGGCTCATGCCTTGGCATCCAGGGAGGGGCCTTTACCTGCGTCTCCGCAGGGAGTCTTTCCCTCCCCCACCAGGCCCTGGCCCACCCGCTGCAGCCCTGGCAAGGCGCCAGGGACTGGGGGAGGTCCCCTGGTGGCTCCCAGGTGGCTCCGGGGTGGGGGAGCAAAGTCTGCATGTCTTGGGACCAAGGGTGGGTTCCTGACTCCCACCCTCCCTTCCCCCTGCCCAGGGCAGACCTGGGGGAGCACGGGGCTGTGCCCAAGGCAGGGTCTGCCCGGCCCACCCTCCCCGCACCGTCCCTGGGCCAGAGAGGGGACGATGACAGTGCGGCTGAGGACACAGACCCAGAGCCGAGGCCCGTTAGCCAGTTAGCCAGCCTGGCTCCCGCCCGCCCTGGCAGGCCCTGGGCTCCGGGCCTCGTCCTGGGGCGGGGTTGCCATGGGGATGGAAGGCAGCTGGGCTGGCCCTGGAGCATCACACGGCCCACTCCAGAGCCCTGCCCGGGGTTCCCAAGCGGGATGGTTTTATTCTCCTCCCCACAGCCTGGGTCCCGGGGAGGCCCTAGAGGCCAGGACTCCACGAAACCTTAAGAAACGCAGCTCAGGGAGCGTGCAAACCGCCCACGCGGCGCCCCCGGAGCAAACGCTAACAGCTGGAGCTGCCAGAAATAGACCATGAAATTACGGGAAGATGCACTTGATTCCTCCTCCCCCGGGGCTGGGGGACAGCGCAGAAGGGGCCCCCCAACCCCGGCTCTGCTCACAGCGCCCGCCTGCGTGGGCTGCGGAGGGCCCCAAAGGGTAGGTCGGCAGGGCCGGCTGCCTGCGTGCAGAATAACTGACCGGCCTCCCGGCCGGGCCGGCTCCCCTCCCCCACCCTCCCCACTCACCGGAGCTGCCCCCCGCGGGCTGAACCATCCCGGCCGCTCCCAGCCATGCCGCTCCTGGAACACGCAGCCCTGTGCGAGGAGCTCCTGGCGGGGGACAGCAGCACCGTCACACCCCCAGACCCCGTGGAGGGCGGCGGGGGCAGGCGGCCAAGGCCCCCGCTCCCAGGACCAGGCCGCCAGCACCCCTCAGGGCTCCCCAGCACCCCCTGCCATGCCCTGGGGCCCCCGATCTCTGGGATTCCCATCTGCTAGGGACTGAGCCCCCAAATCCACAGGCTGAGGCCTGGGCCCCAGCGTGGCTGCATTTGGAGATAGGCAGACTCTCAGAGGCCGGGATGGAGGTTAAATGAGGCCACAAGCGTGGGGTCCCAGGTCCGGCGCCCCAGTAGGGGAAGAGACGCCAGTGCTCTCTCCCCGCTGGGTGAGGACACAGCCGGGAGGTGGCCGTCCCCGAGCCAGGGGAGCCCTCGCCAGGCACCAAACCCGCCGGCACCTTGGCCTGGGGCCTCCCAGTCTCCAGAACTGACAGCAAACAAATTTCTTGTGTTTAGCACACTAACTGCCACGTGAGTTGTATTTAACTCACGCTAGTTTTGAGCCCGGGGCCCCGTGAAGCGCCCGTCACTACAGCTGGCTCGAGATCATCTCACTTGTGGATGTTCTTATCGTTACAATGAACAGCGACAATTTAATTGCGTCTATTATATAACTCACACGCAGAAAACAATAAAACATCATAAATTGTCCATTAAACTAGAAAGGACTGTTTCGTTCTTGGTTGTCGTTCTATTTTCACAATAGAACGCCATGCTCCCAAGGAACAAATTTTTTCTCGAGCGCAGTCGGCGTGCTAAACCCCCGTCCGCGGCGCTCTGTCCCGCAGTTCTCGCAGACTCACGCGCCCCGTGGCCAGCCAGTCCACTCCCGGCTGCGCCCAGGAGGACGGACAGAGGGTCTCGCCGAGTGCTGCCCACGGCCACGCTGCCACGGCCACCGAAACGCGGAAACCACCCGGCGGCCGCCCGCCTGCCGAGAGGACAAGCAGACGTGGTCTGCGTGGCCGGTGGCGTGTTGCCCATCCCACCCGCAAGTGAAGTCCCAACAGTTCCGCAGCACGGGGGACGGAGAGCACGCACTGCACAAAGACACCCGGCGCGGAGCCACGCGCTGTCCCGCCCCTGCTGCAGGAAGCGGGACGGCGGCCTCGCCCTCGCACCGCCGCCACCCCAGAGCCCGAGCATGCCCTGGGAGTCCCGGCATAGCTGGTGTGGAGGGGAGCCAGTCTGCCGGGAGTACTTTGTTCTGGGGTACATCGGTTACGGGAGGGGACCTCATGCAAGGGGTGACCTGGTGCGGAGGGGTACTGGTGCGGGGGGGTACTGTGAGGCGAGGCAGACCCTCGTTGGGGGAGTACCTGGTGCAGGGGGTACCTGGTGCAGTCTGGTACCTGGTGCTGGGGGGTACCTGGTGCGGTGGGGGTTACTCCGTGAGGGGTAGTAGCTCTGTGCGGGGGTCGTAACCTGGTGCATGGGGGTACCTTTGGGGGTTACGCCCTGTGTGGGGTACCTGGTGTGGGGTACTTGGCGGGAGTTACCTCGTGGAGGGGGCGAGTAGCTCGTGCGCGGGTTACCTGGTGGGCAAGGGTACCTTGTGCGGGGGTCTACTGTAGTGCGGGGTGGTACTGGTAAGGGGGGGTACTCTGGTTACAGGGAGGGATACGCTGGTCTGGGCGTACTGGGTGGGGGTGACCTGTGTGCGGGGGACCTGGGTACGGGGGGAGAACCTGGTCCCAGGGGTACCTGGGTGGCAGGGGTACTGGTGGGCGGTCTGGTGTGCAGGTCATGGTGCGGGGGTACCTTGTGCAGGGGGGAACCTGCGTGCGGAGTACCTGGATGGCAGGGGGAACGCTGTGCAGGGTACCTGGTGCGGTACTGGTGCAGGGGGCGGTACCTGGTGTGGGGGCGGACCTGTGGTGCAGGGATACCTGGTGGCAGGGGGACCTGGTGCAAGGGGGCGGCGTGGTGCGGGTACTGGTGCGGGGGGGACCTGGCGGCTGGGTTGCGTGGGTACCTGGTGCGGGGCGGTACCTGGTGCGGGGGGGTGGGTACCTGGTGTGGGGGGGACCTGGTGGCGGGGGGGAACCTGTTGAGGCGCGTACCTGGTGGGCTGCCGTGGGTGATGCGGGTGGGGACCTGGGGCAGGGGCCCTGTCCGGTGCGGGGGTACCTGGTGCGGACTGTACCTGTGCGGGGACCTGGTGCGGGGGAACCTGTTGAGTGTTACCTTGGTGCGGACGGGAGACCTGGTGCAGGGACCTGGTGCAGGGGGACTGGTGCAGGGACCTGGTGCGGGGGGAACCTGTGTTGGAGGTACCTTGGTGCGGGGCCTTGGCGGGGTGGTACCTGGTGCGGTGGTACCTGTGCGGAGTACCTGGTGCGGGGGGAGACCTGTGAGGGGAACCTGGTGCCGGGGACCCTGGTGGCAGGGGGGACCTGGTGCGGGGGGTACCTGGTGAGGGGGGACCTGGTGCAGGACCTGGGTGCGGGGGCGGGATCCTGTGGTGCGGGTGTGGGCGGACTGTGCGGACCTGGTGCGGGGGGTGGGAGGAGACCTGGTGCGGGGGATACCTCGTGCAGGGGGCCTCTCCGCATGTTGCGCCCGGCCAGCGGCTCGTCGTGGGGGAACACGACGGAGTAGTTCTTGGCGTAGGACTCGTGGCTCCGCTCGCGGACCCAGCGGCGGTCGTCCGAGAGAGAGTGATGGAAGCGCCTGCCGCGGACGAGGGGCCTGGTTACTGCTTGAGGACAGCCTGCCAGCTGGCCAGGGACCCAGGGCCCCCCATCAGCCCAGCCCCAGGCAGGGCCCCCGGCTCTCTGACCGCCGCAGCCTGGAGCCCGGCACCGTCACCGTGCCCACCCGATGGCCGCCGGGAGCAGCGAGTGGACACCGCAGGCCAGGCCGAGCCGAGGCCCCGTCCTGACAGGGGCCTGGGCTCTGGTCTCGCTGCCACCATGCTGCCTCCTCCTACCCGGTTCCAGTGTTGGGGTGTCCCAGGCACCCCCACAGGGCAGGGGAGGGAGAAGTCCCAGAGATCTGGGAAGGTCCGTGTGAAGGACTTTTTGGCTTAGGATCAGCGCCATGTCGGAAAGCCAGTCCCTTCCCTCTCAGCAAGGGAGACCCCTGCCCGCCCACCAGCATGGAGGAGGAGCCGGGGGTGGGGGCCTCTCTCGTAAGGACCCCCGTGTCTGCCATTCCAGATTCCGGGGGCCTGGGAGGGGCAGAGTCTCTGGGAGAAGTCCCAGCCCTGTCTGGGAGCAGCTGCAGAATCCGGCCCTGGGGCCAGAGATGGTGTGACCGTGACAATTCAGGTTGTCTCTTGAGGCCGTGGACTCCCCGTGCAGCCACCGAACGCCTGGGGGTGTCCAGCTCCAACCCTCGGGCCCCCCGCTGTTTCCCTCTGCACTCAGCGGCTCCAAGGCTGCACCTGTGGCCCCGGCCTCCGCGCGGGCAGAGCAGCTGCGGCCCCCGCGGCTCCCACCTGTCGGACCCACTCATCCTCATCCTCCCAAGCCCTCCTCCCAGCTGCGTCCTCAGTGGAGTGTCTGTCCTCAGGGACGCCTGCCCAAGCCTCGTCAGGGCCGACTGACTCTTGGTTTGCACATAATTCTAGCAAGTTGGCAGGGGCAGGGGTTAGCACTTGCTAGAACCCCAGTGTGAGGGTCGTGAGTCGCGATATCTGACCAGCGCTGATAATCGCTGTCGCCCACGAGCCCTGACCCAGCGTGGGCCGGGCTGAGTGCCGCCCACAGGGTCCTGTCAACCCCCACGCTGCCTGCTGCTGGGCCCAAGTTTGGCTCATTTCACGCGGGAGGAAACTGAGGCTGGGAGGGGTCCCGCAGCGAGGCCACGGCAGAGCCGGCCTGCACCTGTGCCGGGCGACACCGACCAGGAGCTGGAGAGGGCCCACGAGGACAGGGTGGGACTGGCGGGGGAGGGGCAGAGCGTGCGTGGGGTACAGGAGGGGGCCGGGGCCGCCACTCGCTTTGGTTAAACGAGGAACGACTCACCCCTGGCTGACCTGGACCCCAAGGACATTCCCTGAAAGTGACGCCCGTGCTCCAACGTGACCTGCACCCTCCGGCAAGCACTGGGCGCAGCGTCCACAAGCAGGAGGCTCAGACGCACTCTGACCTTTGTTCCCATTTCACAGATGGGGAAACAGAGGCTCAGAGACGGGGAGGGACCGGCCCAGGGCCACACAGCTAACAGGCGTGGGGCTGGCGCGACGGGACCTGTCTGGCTCCAAAGGGGGCTCACGGGAAGCCACGTGTGAGGCGGCTGCCGTGGCCCGAGCCAGTGGTGCGGGCTCAGCCCCCGGACGGGCACGTGGACCCGGCGTGGACTCTGACCGCCCCGGCCACCCGGCACCTCCCCCACTGAGGGTGTCTTCCTGGGAGTCAGAGGACGGAGTGACAGAGGCGTGCCCTGCCCGTCCCCGAGGCCGTGAGCAGGGGACACACGGGGGAACAGGCCGTGGGGAGCTACAGGCCGGCGCTGGCTCCAGATGGGCTGGGCGGTGGCACCCTGGGGACCAGCCAGGGGACCTCCGTGTCCATCTGTCCCTGTGGGGTCAGACACCCCCACCCCAGGGTGCAGTGTCCTCACAGGCCAGCAAGGGACGAGGATGGCGGAGGCGCGGTGACAGCTTCCCCACCCACCCGTCCTCCGCCTCCAGGCAGCCCTGCAGAGTGGGCTGCTCGGCCGCCGTGGGGATGCGACGCAGGAGCCCGGGCCGGCCGCACGCCAGACCCCGCCTGAGTCGCCGTCCTGCGCTCTTTAAGAGACGGCCTTGACGTGCAGCAGGCCACCAGGCCACAGACGCCTCCCGCTGCGGCCGCCAGCTCCCCGGCCCGTGCCCAGCTCTGGGTGCTGAGTGTCGGGTCCAGACCCAGCTCCGGCATCCACCACACAGACGCGTCCCTGCCCCTCGCCGCAGACCGGGAACCGCCCCGCCCGGGTCCCACGCGCTCCTGCCGCCTGTCACCACACAGCGGGCAGCACGGGCGGCTGGCAGGGCTGCCTGGCCCCAAGGCGCCGCACGCACACTAGCGATCCGCCCAGCCCAGCCCTGCCCCGCCGGCTGCCAGGCCTCAGTCTCCCCACTTGTAAGGGGGTGACTCCAGAGCTGTCCACAGGTCAGGCAGGACCCAGGGACAAGAGAGCCCGGAAACCGCAAAAAACCGGGGCGCAGCCACCAGCCCGGGGCCCTCGGCACCGCCTCCCGCTGCCTCTCCCGAGAAGCCGTGGGGTTTCAGGGAAGGCTCCTAGTTGGCCCCGGCTGTTTACCGCACCCCCCGCTCCCTGCCCGCAGGCTGCCCCGGGCGCACTTGCCTGATGTCGTAGCCGTGCATGTCCTTGTCGGGGCGCCCGTGGACGATCCAGTGGGCCAGCTCCTGCCCACAGCCGCCGCCCAGCATCATACCTGGCAGGGAGTGGGGGGGCGCAGGGCTGAGGTCTGCTCCCGGGTGCCCAGCCCAAGCCCAGACCTCCAGGGGCAGCACAACCCAAGCCCCGATCTCTCTCTTGGGGAGCTGTGCGCCTCCCAACCGGACGGCACCCCTCCCCGCCAGCCTCCTCGGCCTCTCCTGTCCCCAGGGCCACTGGGGCCTCACCGCTCCTGGGCCTGCCACCCCCACCCCCAGGAGCTCTGAGAGCTGGAGGACCCGAACTCACCTGCACTGTTGAAGCCGCAGCCCAGGAAGAAGCCGCGGAGCTCGGGGGCCTCCCCCATCAGGGGCTTGTGGTCGGGCGTGAAGGATTCTGAAAGGGAATGGGGGGCGGAAGCACCCTCCAGTGCGCAGGCCCAGGGGCGGGGTCTCCCGGGAGAGCAGGACCCCGGCCACTGCCTGCAGGTGGCTCCTTCCTCCAGGTGCCCCCTCCTCAAGACCCAGCTCACAGTGCCGCTTCCTCCAGGGAGCCTCCTTGATTGCCCCGGCCGCGTTCCCCGGGGGGCTGCAAGGCATTTGCCGGAACCACCGACTGTGAGGGGCCAGGCTCTCCCTTGGGGTCCGGGTCTGTCTCTTGGCCATTGCTGCTGGACAAGGACCCTTCGCTGACCCAGGCACACACCCTGCTGTCCCCACCAGTGGCCATGCCCAGGCACGGGCCAGGTTTTGCTCACCTGCCTGTCCCTACACGAGGCAATCCCTGCAAAACGGGACTGCCCGAGTTCACTGAGGAAGGGCAAGAGAGCTGGAGGCCACCGGCTGGGTTTCTCGGGGAGGGCGGCCCGCCAGCCCTGCCCTGTCTGCTTCGCCAGTGGGCCCTCAGTCACAGGCCAGGAGGCGTCGGCTGGACAAGGCGGCCCGGCTGGAACATCACGGCCGCCCCACCCGCGCTGGGCACGCCCAAGCCCTGCTGCTCACCCCTTCCGCGGACCTTGTAGTGACGTGAGGGTCCTATCACGTCCCCCTCTCCTCCCCAACAGAGGCCTCGTTCCTCCGCCATGAGAGCCGGGCGAGTGGCACGGATCCCTGAGGACCCATTGCGCAGGGCGGCCAGCAAACCACCCCAAGCAGCCCACCCTACCACACCACCTGCCGGGAAGGACTCCAGCCCCATGAAAAGGACACCCCGCCCGGAGCCGCAGCGAACACAGGACACCGCCGGCGAGGAGCAGACAGGACACCCTGCCCTGGAGCAGCCACGAACAGGACACCCCCTGCCTTGGGAGCAGCCACGAACAGGACACCCCCTGCCCGGGAGGCAGCCACGAACAGGACACCCCCTGCCTTGGGAGCAGCCACGAACAGGACACCCCCCGCCCGGGTGCTGCCACGAACAGGACACCCCCTGCCTTGGGAGCAGCCACGAACAGGACACCCCCTGCC